GCAGAGGCTTTCCTGTGGAAAAAACCCGTGTTCTTATCTCCTGATCGCAGCCAGTCATTACGGGAACGCTGCTTCCAATATTTTTCTTCACGATCAAGGATATCCGCCAGCTCATCCTCGAGAACCCGGAGCTGAGCAAGATTCGTCTCATTTTTCTCTCTTCTCTCTAATGCTCGGATTGCCCTGTACGCCTTCTTCTTTTGTTTTGCAAAACCCGGGAAAGCTTGCCTACTCCAAGCCTCAAGGTCATTGCGGCAGCGGTCCATCTTGTCAAGGATATCGCTAGAAGAGGAGGTTTTCCAAGCCGCCTCAATCGTAGTAAAGCAGTCATTGTGCTTTGCCCACAGCGGGTCAAAACGAAAGGAGAATCCCCATTTAACGTCCATATCTTCCTCACACCTAGACTCGCACATAATAGGACGGTGGTCCGAATGAGCCCTGTCCCCATGTTGCACTCTTCCGTTAGGGAATAGATAAGTCCATTTTTCATTTGCTACAAACCTGTCCAAACGTTCTTCAATGTAACCTCCTCGTGAATCCCAGGAATCCCATATCATGGCAGCCTATATCGTTCAGGCAGTCATTGAACTGGGTCATCTCAGCCTCATGTACCCCTTTTCCCCCGCTTTTTTCAGCTGACGACAGAACCTGGTTAAAGTCCCCACCGCAAAGCCAAGGTCCATCCCACTGAGCACGAAGTGCACGTAATAGCTCCCACGTTCTCCACTTGTCCCCTCCCTCAGGCCATCCATAGACACCCGTGAACCTTCACTTCCCCACCACTGGTTCCTCGACAGCAACATCAATGAAATGTAGGTAAAGATCCATAACTTGAATCTGTGACTCCTCATTCCACCAGATGCTAAGGCCCCCTGCCCAGCTCCGAGAGGAGATAATTGCCGAACAACATCTACCAAACTTAAAACCTCATGAACTGCGAAGGACTTCATTCTCAGCCTCAGTCTGTTTCGTCTCCATGAGAAAAACGACGTCGGGGGATGATCTGCGCAAGAGCGCTCGAAGCGCATTAACTGACCGCGTATTCCCCAACCCGCGGCAGTTGTGGCTTAAAATCTTCATTTATGGGCTGAAGGGGATAGGCTCCCCGCGCCATGCTTTATACCAGAACTCTTCAATATTCCACGAACCTGCAAGTCCTTATCCGCCTGAGTTGTGTTCTTTTTTTGCTTTTGGGCTGCTCCCGGTCTCTCTTGCACCGACTGCCGCCCCTGACTAGCCTTATTCGATTGATCGTGCTTCCTAGCAATATTCCCTGTACCCTTAAGGTGGCCGGAGGGTGGATTTTCCACCGCAGAATTATGCTTAATAGGCGTAGTCGTCTGATCTGGGCTGGAGCCCCCAGCCTGTACCAATGGTTTTCCTCCGCCGTTTACCATCTCATTATTCAACATTGTGTGTGGCGAAACAACACTACCCAACAGATCCTCGACCCGAGGGCTCCCAACATCCACTGCCTCCATCTGTATCGGCGTTTTCTTGTGCTGTGCTCTTCCAGGTTCTTGCCTCTCCTCATTTGTGTCGTCCCCAAGCACTGAGAACCGGGACCCTTGGGATTTCGCTACCTCCATCGGTTTTTTCGTTCCCGGCAGCATTGGCAGTTGGTTCTTGCTTGTTCCTGTTGGTCCCCTTGCCCCGCGGTTTCACCATCATCCATTCGCCATAAGTACTACTAGGTTCGCGGACATGCTCCTCCTGGGTAGGAGCTTGTTCCGAGGTGGGTGCCTTAGAGAGCACAGGGCATGTAACCTTCATGTGACCATACTTACCACATTCGGTACAGATTCGGTGGAGTCCCTCATACTCCACGTAATAGGTAATTCCTTCAATTTTGAACTTTGATAGCAACGGTTTCATCAGATCAACTTCAATGCTGACTCGGGCGTACTTGCCACGGTTGCCTATTTGCGTTGCTCGATCTACCCGGACTGGACGTCCAATTCTCTCCGCAATGCGTTCCACAACCTGCTTGTTAATGAACTCTCTAGGGAGGCCCGGGAACCGCGCCCATACCATGGTGGAAGCCACCTCTGCCAATTTCGGGTCGAAGTTTTTCCGCCATGGGGCACAGTGATATAAAAATCACTGATCATCCACGGTCCGCCCGCCGCTGCATATTCGTAATCGATCTGGCTAGTAAACCGCACGACATAGTACCCAAACGACAAGCTCGAGACCTGGATATTGCCACACTTAGCCCACAGAACTTCCAACCTTCGAGAGATAACATGGAAAGGGAACGTTCGGCCAAGGACTATCACAATGAGCGCTGAGCGCCATTCTCTTCGCCATTGCTGCTTCTCCATCGCCGTAAAGGCAATGGTGGGGCACAAAGGATCATCATCTTCCGGGATTTCATCGTCAAGGTCATCCTCCTTCATGGCGGCAGCTACGCCTTCGGAGTCCGATTCCGCAACGTACCACTCCTCCTCCTGAGACAGGTTACTGAATAGACCACGAGTTCCTCCACTCCATGCATTCTCCATGTTCACGTTCCTCTCACTGGCCTCACCTTCTTCCATAGGGGCGGGGATAGGCTCCTTCGTGATGTCAGCCCCAAAGAGGGGATTATCTCGCATAGGCTTTGCTTTTTTCTTCGGCTGTTGGGTCTCACGCTCTCTTTTTGAATCCGGTGACGATGTTATCGACGGTGGGCGGCGGACACCCGTACTGGAATCAAACATACCTGCGTCCCGAAGAGAGGCCCCCGGCGCCGGCGCAGCCATGGTGTCGTTGCGCGCAAGCAGGGGTAGGTCGTAAGCTTGAGAATCGCCGCTCCGCTTATGTCGGAGCTAGGGTTCCACGTCGTTTTCTTTTGTTAATTGGCTTTAATTAGGGCTTAAGCTTCATGATTAAACCACGTATAAGTACAACTATAAGATAATTAAATCATATACAACAAGGGCAGTCTAGGTAAATTAATATAATAAAAAAAGTCATTATGATTTCTCATCATATTGTTTTAGCTTGTCGACAGACAAACTCAATGATTTTCGATCAACATCTAAACTTAACAAAAGATATAGTGGTGTATCCTCTAACATTTTTTTTTTATCACGGTCATTACTTTTCGTCTGCATGTCAACTTATACGTCCATAATAGCCTCATGTGTTGGTTTATACGAAGTCTCTCATATTAAAAGCTCATGCTCCGAACATTTGAACAAATATCTCTAAACCTAGAGACCCGAATTTGACCAGTATATTGAACATAATTAGAGGTAGTTAATTTTCCAACGGCAGATTTTCATTTTTCTATATTAATCGTGACTCGTGAATAATATATGTTGCTAAAGCATCTGTACTCTCTAACCATTTACCATAGATGGGCACAAAAGTTGTCAAATGACTGATTAGAAAGTAAACTGAATCATTACTATAAAGAGAAATCGGACTCTCCCAATCTTTATATAGAACATGAAAGCTGGGTACGCTTTTTCACCCATTTTTGTTACCACTGTTTCAATTCTTGGCTTCTTGTGGGAGGCGAGTAGAAGAGCTTCCCCCACGCACTTCCTTCTCCGACCCCCAAATGCCATACCTCCTCTTTCCTGCCTTCTCTTATGCCTTACCCTAGATTCAGTGACCGCAAGTTAGTGCCCATACCTTGCAGGCAGCAATATAGAGATGGTACCATTCCTAGCTGCTTTGGCCCCAAAATCAGCATTCAGCCAGTAGTGTTTCAGTCATGTCTGTCTTTTTACCATCCATTCCGCTTTTCCAGATTTTCCAATCCCTTCACAACTGCTTGCACACGCCACCGCCCATCAATTCGGCAGCTCTCGCTTTGGGGAAGATTGATATCCTATGCCTCACCCCGTCCAGTTTCTTTCTCCTTCATATTTGATTCTTTTGTTGCTTTGTTCCCATTTTCACCCAAATGCTTCGGCCAATCCTCTGATCCACTCTTGCCTCTTCTGCTTCCAGGCATGAATCACACCGTCCTTTCGAAGTTGGCATGGACGGACAAAGCTCCTACCCTCAAATTACGTCTCCTCCATACATGGATGGCTGGAAACCCGTACCAGTCAGAAGGCTTCTCTGAATACTTACGCTTTCGACAGGCGAATTGGTGACCTCTATCCGTTGTTGGTTTCTTCTACCCGGCACTTATACCTGCCCATTCTTATTTTGATGTTTCCTCTTCTTTTCCTAGGGGTGCTGGGACTGAAATTGACGCATCTCGCGGCCCAGCTCAAAGAAGTTCTTGCTGTTCGGAATCAAACAGTTCTCCCAGTGTGAGTCCAGAAAAGGTTCGGCACCCTGCTCCAGTTGTGTCTTCTCCATTTTACTTCAAACCCTTCATGTGTCCCCTTAGATGATGAGGACTCGAGCTATTGTCCTGATAGCTTTCAGTTTTGCCAGTTGAGGACCTACCCGACACCGCTTCTCGACTTGACAGTTAGTTGGTTTGTCTTTGGTCCTTTCCTTTGAGCTTATTCGAGTTTGGACTTGCCTACTAAACCAAATCCTTTTCGTAGATGTTGTTGGTAGGTTGGTATCTACAACGCCTGTCACCTGTTTCCAAAAACAACGGATAGTGATTCGCTCCTACTGATTCAACACACAGAAAGCTCAAGCCAAAATTCAGGTTGGTTCCTTTCACTCACAAAGTTATGTAAGCCTAACTTAGTCACCTGTTACTGAGTCTTATGCAAAAGGAAGCAGTACACTGAATGTGTTCTTGCTGCCGATCCTTTTAGCAGCCTTTCAATGACAACATTGTACTGAGAGGTAAGCTGGTTTTATGAGTAATCACTGTCCATACACAACATAACATTTGTTGATTACTGATTGTCAAACGTTGCTACTTCACAGCTTTTTTGTGTTTACAAAATGTAGCTATAGTGGTCTTTGATTGAAATTATTTGTATTGAGATGTGAAAACTGATGCATTCATTTGAAGAAAAGGAATCCAAAAGAAAAACACACTTAAAGATGCTGCAAATGACATTGAAATCTTCACCTTTAGTGAACTGGGTCTCTTAGCATTTGGGAAGGAGTACACTCTTGCCATATCCGAAGTTCTTTAGTTCGCAGAGTAGTCTGTGATCATGCTTGCATATTGTTGTACATGATACTCGATTAGAGTTAATTAGTTAGCTGAATGCATTAAGAACTTTGCTCTCAAGAAAAATCAAATGCAGCCTCTGCAACAGGCATTGGGGATGCTCTGAGACAATAATAATGGACTTCCTGGTATATGCTCATCAGAGGAAGAGATCCAGGATCCTGTATATCATTTTAAGTAACAATTTCCATGGGTTTCATAACAAATTATTTTGCTTTTCATTGCTTCTTTTTCTTAATGATTTATACCTTATGTTTATCCTAGGGCGTGCTGGTGCAGGAAGTGGCATCCTGTTAGGTCACTGAACAGGTTCTCAACGTTTTATGCCTGCGATTCATCAGCTTAACTCTACTAGATTTTCATGCTCATTCTCTCTCAATGACGGTTTCTTTTTGTTATTAATTATTGGATTGACTCATAGGAACTGTTTTATCTTTGTATTGTTCGACTTATGTGAACCAGGCTTCGGTTTTGCAGCAGGGAGATACTGACTGGTTGCTAGCATACTGGTTTAGGCTGGGGATGATATTTCTATTATGGTCTTGACAAGGAGGCCACAAGTGTTGAAGAACATGTTGATCTTTGACCTTGGTGGTAGTGCGTTTGATGTTTCCCTGGTAACAGTTGAAGAGGGTATTTTTAAAGTGAAGCGAGTTGCTTGAGACACTCACCTTGGTGAGAGGATTTTGACAGCAGATTGGTCAACCACTTAGACTAGGAGTTCACGAGGAAGAACAAGGAGAGTCTTCCTATAATCTCTTTGCTTTTTTCTTGACTGAGATGTCATCCAATTTTGGATTAACTTCTTGAATTGTACATAGCTTTATGCTCTGATTATTCACCTATGCTTACAGTGTATATATACATACATACCATGATTCAAGCAATTAGCATATCAGGTTGGAAGTTGGGTTTGTTTTGCCCCTCCATCCTGGTTGCACTATTGTCTGTTCTATTCCTATCAAGTGTGTCTAAAAACAAAAACTTATGAAATAGCCTATATTCATTCAATTTGTACTCTTGATTCTTTCCTAAGGGCTTCTAAAAATGCATGATACACCAGCATTGTATGCCGTGGAATAAATAATATTATTTAATTGTTGTTTGTGACATACATTGCATACATGACACCCATAGATTTATTGGATGCTATTGTTTTAACCTATAAAAATATTTTTTGGTAAATTGATTGCTTGAAAACCTTGCCAGTTGCCCCGTTCTCACCAAAATCCTCGCTGACTGATAATATACAAAAACCCAATGACTGTCAAAAGGAAAAGAAAAGAATTAGACTTCCCACAAGGTCCAGTGTACCATCCTTCACCTTCCCTCTGACTTCTGAGAGCATGAAATACAAATTTTTAACCTTCCTTCTCCCTGTCGAATCCTTTTCCCATACTATTCCCTATCCAGTCACACCTAGGGCTGGCAACCGGTCGGTTTCGGTTTAACCGAAAACCGAATTCTCGGTTTTCGGTTAAACCGAGACCTGATCAGTTGCTACCGGCCACCGACCGACCCTGGTACCTCGGTTAGCCGTAAACCGACCGGGCGGTTTCGGTTAAGGCACGGTTAAACCGGCAACACCGAAAAAGTTGTGGTCGGTTCGGTTTAGTTGCTTAACCGATCGGACAAGAAGGGAGGAAAACCTAAAATCGCCTAAATGACAGTCGTTCCTCTTCCACCTGATCTTCTTCTCCTTTTCCTTCTTCTCCTTCTCCCTCTCTCTCTCTCGATGGCGCTCTGGTTGGATTTTCCAGATGCGTTTCCCAATTGAGTCTCGATGCGCCATGAACCCTTCTTTTCCTTCCTTCCTCTCTGCTACCCAGAAAAAACAGAACAATGGCGTCTACAGCAGCAGGACTATGCAGCCCAATCCAACTGAGCTCAAGGCGCTCAACTCGAACCAGGCCCTGTTCGGGCTGAAATCCGGAGTCGGAGTCGGCGCGGGGAGGAAGAGGAAGCCATTGATGGCCGCCATAGCCATGGCAGTGCTGGAGTTTTGGTGGCCTCTGTTTTTTGCCACAAGGCGCAGGGGAGGAGGCGGAGCGCTCGAGGCGAGGCGGCGGGGCGCTCGAGGCGAGGCGGCGGGGCGCTCGAGGCGAGGCGGCGGGGCTCGCAGTCGCAGTCTCGGTCGGCAAAAATGAAGGCGGCAGCTAGGGTTGAGGGAGAACGAAGGCGGCAGCTAGGGTTGGGGGGGGGGGGAATGGATGTGTATGTGTTTAAAGGTAGGCAAAAACGGCGGCGTTTCATCTCGGTCGGTTAGCGTCGGTTAGCCGGTTAACCGGCTTCGGTTTATCGGCTAACCGCGTGCCCACTGACCCATTCCGTCAACCGACCGACCCTATATTTTTTCGGTTTTCGGTTAGCCGCTAACCGGCGGTTAACGGTTAGACCGGCCGGTTAGCCGCTAACCGGCAACCGAAATGACAGCCCTAGTCACACCCATACCAAATTTCTACCATCCAGAATCATCTCTCCATCACTCTTACGCCATCAACTTCTTTTCTTTCTAATAAGCCAAACTTCCATTCTCTCATCACTAATTGTTGGATGTTGCAGCAGTGGTGGATTGGTTTCAAACTTTGAAGCACAATCTAATAATAAATGTCTTAATTCTCAACCAATACTACTCATTCTCCATTACCTTGTGATCTCTTATTTGGTAGTTGTAGCTTGAGTTTTAGTTGTCTTATGATGTTCACTTGCTGTTTCTTTGCATGAGATGTTTAGAGTGCATTATGAATGTTGGAAGATTACTGCCTTCTTAGACAACTTTTTTTACAAATTGAAAGAAGATAGTCGGGGAAGGGGAAGAGGAACAAGGAAAAGAGAAGCATTAACATCCTTCTTTTCAATTGTCGTCTTGAAGCATGGGCAACTGATTTGGGAGTTGAGAATTTGAGCCAATCTTTTTGGTTGCTTTTTAATGAACTATTAACTAACTTTAGTAAGATGGGTATGGATTGATTGAACATGTGATATTAATGAATTTGATTTGTAAAATATATTTTCTCTGGGTGGTCTCAGTATGGAACATAATAATCTAATATTTAGTAGAGTAAATGCATAAGATTTGCTTTAAGTTTAAAATAACGCTTTTCGCAGAGTTTAGTATGTCCTTATTTATGCTTTGTGAATAATTTTTATGGCATACTTGGTGTGCATAGTTTGTAACTATTTCATGTTACTATTATTGTATTTCTAAAAAAATACTACATTGCTCTAAACAAATCCTGTGGCGTAGGCACGGGTATTGATTCTAGTATATTTAAATTACGAGTACGATCAACCACCACATCATCTCTTCCAAAATTTGCAAATGCAACACAAAAGATGCATCCATCACCCATGTCTACATATCCTGCCTCAACTAACCAGTTAAATATTAGTTTGGCCAAATCCCCCTGCTGAATATATAATTAGAGGTATAGATCCTGACATAATCCCCTAACTTATCTCCTCAAGTAACACACATAGTGGAGCACCACAAACCACAACTGGCCTAACTAACAAACTGAGCTACTGCAAAAATTGCAGACCTCTTACACCACTCCTTACATTACATAGCTCCAATGTTCATAAAGTCTCCCCAAATGCCAACTTGCAGCACATTAATCTAATATAATCCCTTCCCAAATCGGATTATCACGAGCTAAACAAATATCAAACAAAATTAGTTTAGTAGTTTCTGTTTTGTGTTTAAGATTAGTTGTTGAAAGGGTTGTTCAAAGAGAAAGAGATGGGAATCAATGGATGGTCTGGCTTGGATTTAGCTCTCTGGTTATAAAGCTGGGTTTTTTTTAGCATCTACCATAATTAGGAGCTTAATAATATAATTTTTATTCTGTTAAAACCTTTTTTTTTTCTTGTTATTAATGATTGATACAAAACTCTTTCCCTCCCTCCCTCTCTCCCTCCCCTTCATCTCTCCTTAACTAATCTAACATATATATATATGTACATATTTTAAGCTTAGTTGTTCTCCCTTTTTTTATTCAGGAGGATCCTCCTTTGTTTGGATTTGTAAATAGTTTTTAACACATAAGAACAGGAGGTATCCATCCAACCCCCCATTTCTCCTTTTGCCAAATAGGTAATGCAAACCTCCCCTGTTTTCCTCCTCCCCTGTTTTTCACCTCCCCTGTTTTTCTTCACAATTGATTGTGTCCATGGTTTTTGGCGATTAACTGTTGGATGATCCGACATTGTTGTTTTAGCAGGACTTAAGAAAGATTTGTCAGTCATGGGGGATACGATGATGTATGGAATTCCCGACAAGAATCCCAGACCGGGGCTCGACGAGTTCTCGGAGGAAGAGAAGAAGAAGAAGGCAGGGGGAGGAGGGGGATCCTTCAAGAAGAAGGTATCGAACAAGTTCCGAAACTCCCTGACGATGACGAAGAAGGGTCGCCGGAACAGCAGGGTGATGTCGGTTTCGATCGCCGACGAGATCGACGCCGAGGAGCTGAGGGCCGTGGACGCGTTCAGGCAGGCGCTGATTCTTGACGAGCTTCTTCCGAACAGGCACGATGATCACCACATGATGCTCAGGTTCCTGAAGGCGAGGAAGTTTGATATTGAGAAGGCCAAGCAGATGTGGTCGGACATGATCCAGTGGAGGAAGGAGTTCGGTACCGATTCTATCATGGAGGTGATTAGAACCAAAGCTTTCTTGCAACCTTTTCTTTTTTGCATCATATTTTGCGTATGTGATCGATTGATATTTTGTTCATTCTATATAACATTTTTAATGTTTTCTCAACAATTCGACTGATTGGAATGAACGATTTTGTTACATGTATATCGATTTTGTGACATGTGTATGGTGGGATTTTATTTTGGCTGAGAGGGCAATTTGGGGATTTTTGGTCAACAGGATTTCGAGTTCAAGGAAGTAGATGAAGTGTTGCAGTACTATCCACAAGGGTACCATGGAGTCGACAAAGATGGCCGGCCTGTGTACATCGAGAAGCTCGGGGAAGTCGACGCCAACAAGCTGGTTCAGGTCACGTCGTTGGACCGATACGTGAAGTACCATGTTCAGGAGTTCGAGAAGGTGTTCACTTACAAGTTCCCAGCTTGCTCCATTGCTGCTAAGAAGCACATCGACCAGAGCACCACCATCATTGATGTTCAAGGAGTTGTATGTCTTCTCACCATCAACCAACGAACCAATCGATCTATCTTCATTGAGTTGACTTGTTAACTAACTCTCGATTATATAATTTTGCAGGGGCTTAAGCAGTTCACCAAAACAGCCAGGGAGCTCATCAGCAGGATTCAGAAGATCGATGGTGACAACTACCCTGAGGTGTGTATATATAAATCATTGATTAGTCTTGCTTATGAGTAGGTATGGTTCGGTCCAGTACGTGAACTGAAACCGAATCGAAATATATTCGCAGACGCTGAACAGGATGTTCATCATTAATGGTGGAGCTGGGTTCAGGCTTCTGTGGAACACTGTAAAATCGTTTCTGGACCCCAAGACTGCTGCCAAAATCCATGTCAGTTTTAACTTAATGATTCTCTATTCACTTTTTCTTACCGACTGTTCTAACCTAGCTTTCTCTCTAACACACAACAATGCTGTAATTTTCCAGGTTCTTGGGAACAAGTACCAGAGCAAGTTGCTTGAAGTGATTGATGCTAGGTAAATCAAAGGAGAAAAAATTGTTCTTTCACTTCCTACAGATTAAGGAAACAAACTTTTTGATCTGATGAAAGAAACCCTTGTGACCAACTTCTGCCAGTGAGCTGCCATCATTCTTTGGAGGCACCTGCACTTGTGCTGACAAGGGTGGCTGCATGAGATCCAGCAAGGGCCCGTGGAATGATCCTGACATCCTCAAGGTCAGAAAGCCTAATCCTGACTCAACTAGGATTTCTATCTCTTTTACTTTGTTTGCTGTGATTTCTCATGGAGTTCTTAATTTCGAAACCGAACTGTTGCAGATGGTTCAAAATGGCGAGGGTAAATGCCACAGGAGGACATTGTCAGGGATTGAGGAGAAGTCCATCCCTGAAGATAAGGAGACCATCATCAAGGTCTCCAGCAATGAAGCGGAGGACCTCAAACCCTATCCAGTTCCTGAGGATGTAAGACACTAATTACCAGATCTTGCCATATATTCAGTTTTGATTCCCAAGGGATTGTTTGGATCGTTGAATTTGAACAACAGCTTCCAACAATGTCTCTCCTTTTCCACTGTATTTTCAGCTTCCCATCGTCAACATGATGAGCAAGATCACCCCAGATGAGTATGAGAAGTCGATCCAAGTATTCGAGAAGACGATAGATGCTAACTGGAAACCTTCTCCAGGAAAGGGTAAGCATGCAAACATAGAATCTGAAAACAGAAATCTGGTTTTTTTTTTCCTTACTGGGGGGAATAAGAAGGCTAATTCTGTTTCTTCAAACAGTTGTTCTTCCCGAGGACGGTACCATTGTTCCTGCAAACGGGAAGCACATGATGGGCGGGGTCATGGCCGTGGTGATGGGAGTGGTGTCGTTGATCCGAATGACAAAGACAATGCCGAGGAAGCTGACCGAGGCAGCCATCTACGGCAGCAAGACCTACTACTCTGACTCGCTCAACGACCCCGCAGCTGTTGCAGCTGGTACTAGTGGCTTCACTGAGTCCTCCATCACCACCTCGGACTACAAGAACATGATGCTGCGAATGGCCGAGGTGGAAGACAAGCTGAACGTTCTCTGCTCAAAGCCCGACGGGATCCCTCCTGAGAAGGAGGCCATGTTGATCAATGCCATTAGCCGTGCTGAAGTCCTCGAGAAGGAGCTCTGTGCAACTAAGATGGTACCATTTTTGCCTCTGACCTTCAAACATTCTATACCATAATGACAGAAGAAAGAGCTTCACTTTTAACCTCCTCCGGGTTTTTTTGTGCAGTTGCTTGTGGAGGCTATGGGGAAGCAGCAAGAACTCCTGGCTTACATTGAGAAGAAGAACAAGAAGAAGAAGAGGGTAAGTTATTTTTTGGCATAGTTGTATGATATACATCTACATTGTGTATTGCAGTTACTGATCGACGTCTGTGTGTTATTTGTTATGATTGTCAGCATTTCTTCGGGTTCTGAACGAGGAATTAGTTGCTCCATGACAATGGCTGATTGAGGATGTGATGCTACAGATCATTTTTACCTTCTATTATGTACTTTTTTGGGTTCTTGGGGAATCTCCATGACTGACTAAGTCCTTTTGGCTTCAAGATTGCTGCTTTGCTCTGTATATTATTAAGTTAATCTCTTCAAAAGCTTTGCATAGGGCAGCATTGTAATGAATTGTTACAACATCTTGTAATCGGATGAAATGGAGGGTTCTTTGAATATTATTGAACAACAGCCTGCCAAGTCACAAATGGTTCTACCCTGAAAGAATTTATCTTTTGATCTCCTGTCTATTCTCATTCTTACTTAGACAGACAGAACTTTGAATAAGAAGTTCCAAGTAACAATATAATCTACTTGGTTCAGTTTTCGCTAAGTTTTCACATTATTGGATAGGCAGTAACTCAGCCTCGCGAATTCTGGGTTACTGCATTCAACTGTTTAGTCAAATCTAACCACATTGTAACGTCGTTCACTACCCAACTCATGACAAAGTAAGTACCTCCAGACTAGCTCGGTTGAAAAGGAGTTCAAATAAATTATTGCAGTTGACACAAAACAACACCAACATCGAGACAACAGTAGAACAAAAAACAGATATGGGAGAAGTGAAACTGAACACAGCCTTTTCATGTCTGTCTAGCAGTTAAATTTTTTTCTTCACAATTCTTACAGAGAGTCAGTTCGCTCAATGCTTTCGCTCTTGAATCAACAGAGGAGAGAAAAGCATACTTGTTTGTAGATAGGAGTAGTTTACATCTCATTATACCATCCAATAGCTGCCGAGATTTTACATCATTTCACTCAGTTATCTATCAAATAGTAGAGGCATAGATTTCATGGGGTAGTAACTCACATCCAAAAGACCTTGCCCAGGCTTCCACTTCTCTCCATTGTCCAACTCTCAAAAGCAGAACATCTTGCTCTTCTGCAAAAAAGATAATCGGGCAGTAGTGAGATTACAAGTCATTGAAAAGCAAGAAAGATAGATCGTGAGCCAACAATTCATACCCGATATTTCTCTTCTTCTTGACTATCAATATAAGCAAGCAGTTCTTCTTGCCTCATAAGCGCTTCATGCAGAGCCTGCCGAGTCAAAATGAATAGTTAGAAACTGTCGTTTCATTCTTTCAGCAAACTATTAATATTTTCAAGCTGAAACCATTTGTCACCTTCTTAGTTGCAATAAGTTCAGCTTCCAAAGCATCCACACGACAGACAGCAGCATTGAGCAACTCCGCTTTCTCATAAGGCATCTCAGACGGCTTTGCTTGAAGTGTGTCGACCTTTTCCTCCAGTTCACCCAACCTTTTCAACACAGAAGTAAGCATGTCGGCTTCTGTGTAGGAAGCAGTTGGTGAGGGTGGGCGATTTAGCTCTTTCTCTGGTGTATTAATAGCAATCACAGCTGAAACTCGATCATGTTCAGAGAGCATCTCTGAACCTGTCTTGCTAAAGAGAGACGGCAGTGAACGGACAAGAGTTAGAACAGTCATGAGGAAAGCCAGGACCGCTAGCCAAAGCCGAACATGTATAGCCCCTGCAGTCTTTGGGGTTTCTGCAACAGTTGGCGTACCTGCACCAGAAACTGGAAAGCACAATTTTTTCTTAACACAATCAAACACTTGACTACGAAATTTAAGTTGGCACAACATGATGACAAAAAGAGCATGATTATTATTATTATGCTGGTTTCATCGGAAATGAGGGTTTCATGTTTTATACAGTCAAAGCCCAGCAAGCTGATTTCTGAGCTAAATATGTCATGGCACATTAACAGTTAGGGGAGAATAAGCAGTAGATACAGCAACTTAGTCACTAACCTTTAGACATTGCAAGCTTCTGGATTGCTGCTTGCTTATTCCAAGTAGAGTCAACTGCTTTGTCCACCATGGGAATATACTCATCATACCCAGGAAAGCTAATAGGGTGAGTGGCCTTCCCCATTATCTTAGCCTTCACATCCAAGAAATAAAATTAACAAACCGAATGGCAGAAAGTTACAAACCTAAAGCCAAGAGAACAATCAATTTAAGTACTAAATTAAGTGGAAAGTATGGGCGTCCTCCACTGCTATGTTCATTTCATGGACGTCAGAAAGTCACACATAGTTGATTTACTGTATAATAAAAGGGAACAAATGACAGGATAAAAGCTTCGTATATAGTATTTACTTGATACAACCCCAACAGAAAATAGATGTCAAGTCAACATTCAAGGAAGTCATACCAAGTATATCACATTTAGCACCATGGACTATAAACAGTGGAACCAAAAGCGAAATGCTAGCCTCCACACCCTAACCAAAACAATATAAGCTTACTTCTTCACGGACGGGTGTCAGGCGCAGATGTGAGTAGGCCTTAAGTGCCTTGGGGGAAGCAATTTCTTCAGCTTCAGACCCTGATTCGGCAGCAGATGAATCACTACCTCTTACCTGTTTCAATATGCTAGAGGCAATCTCAGAAAGATCCCTCAAAGTGATGAATACCTCTAAATGAACGAACAAAGTTGAATACTTACCGTCGGGTAATGAGGAGGCTTCGCATAGGTAATGACCTTTCCCTCATTGTTCAGAATTCTTACAACTTGCCTGGAGCGCCTTGCTCCGCCATTAAGAACAATCTGCAGAAACATCAGAAGACTTTAATTCCCTGAAGATAATGCATCAGCATCTCAGAAGTTAGTAGGAATTTAAGCAAGAATCATAGAAACGACATGCCTTCAGTATATCAGGATTTCTCCATGGCCCTTTATCAGAACGAAGACAACCTCCCTGATCTGCACAGGTACAAGTACCGCCCAAGAATTCCGGCAATTCACTGCACATGTATTGCATGTACTCAGAACGGAGAGAGGGAGCTTCTTGTACATAGAATTTCTTTAAATCCATGAAAGATTTAAGCCCCAGAATGTAGCAAGGGGAAAAACTAATCAAGATCAAGATGATTAGCGTGTGCTTACCTGGCATCAATTACCTCCAGCAATTTACCCTGGAACTTGTTTCCAAGAACCTATATTATACACGACTTTGTTCATTAGATGGCTCAGCAAGCAAATACCTACACTAAATATAACACAAATAACCAAGTATGAGCATACATGAATCTTGGAGGTGGTTCTAGGATCTAAAAATGATTTTATAGTATTCCAGAGGAGCCGAAATCCAGCACCAGCATTGATGATGTACATTTCATGCAGAGTCTGCATCAATGAGCATAATTATCAGATACAGAAAACCAAAGCCAGGATTATCTTTATAAGGAAAAACAGATAAAGTCAGTATTAGGACCTATACCAGAGAAAACATCTTACCTCCGGGTAATTGTCACCATCAATCTTCTGCAGCCTCATGACAAGTTCCCGAGCAGACTTGGTAAAGTTCTTTAGTCCCTGGATATGAGTGAGCAAATGTAAAAGGTGAGTTCCTTCATATTCAGGAGCAATACTAAAAATCCGCAACATTTAACCAACTCACCACTCCTTGAACATCTAAAATTGTGGTGCTTGAATCTATGTGCTTCTTTGCAGCAATGCTGCATGCTGGAAACTTGACCAGAAAGCTTTTCTCAAACTCACGCACATGGTATTTCACATAGCGGTCAAGATCTGTCACTTGCATTAGTTTGTGGGGATCAACTTTTCCCAATCTTTCCATATAAATAGGTCTTCCATCTTTATCCACACCGTGGTAGAAATGTGGGTAATACTTCAAAACTTCATTTATCTCTTGAAACTCAAACTCCTGTACACGAAAGACAAACAGACCAAGTGAAGTTAGTATCAAGGGTGAGTTGCCAGAAACCAAAACACACCAGTATACACAGCTACCTCCGTGATAGTATCAGTGCCAAATTCCTTCCTCCATTGAAGCATATCAGACCACATGTGCTTTGCTTTTTCAACGTCAAATTTCCGTGCTTTCAAGAACCTGAAATGGAGAAAAAGTAAGCATCAAAATCAGTACAAACTAGCACAAATGACAGTTGGGCCTCGTCCATGCCAACACATGTAGATAATGCAATCAGTAAACCAAAAAAGAGTAACATAAGCAGGTCACAATGGTGAAAGTGGACGTCTTCAAAGGCCAACGCAAGAATCACTACAGCTGGATTTCACGCTCCTCAACTATGAAGCTAGTGGACCACATCCATCTTCAGAAAAGAATATAAAAACGGCAATACAAGGACATAAATCCTCTGGCTACATGTTTAACCAATCATAAATTGGGAAAAATAACTAAATCAAATCCAAGACTCTACTACTGTTGATTCTCAAACTACAAAACTGATGAAACTATCATCAGAACACTGGATAGCTGTTCCAATCATCAAGTTGTAGTGAAACAAGGAAGCAACTGAAAACAAAGAGGGGCTGGCTAGTCACCTCAACATCATGTAGTAGTCGTCATGTCTTTCGGGAAGTAACTCGTCCATGATCAGCGACTGGCGAAACGCATCAACGGCCTGCAGTTCCTCGAGGTCTCGAACATCTTCAATGGAAACAGAGCTAACCCGGCCATCACTCTTCCTCCTACTACTCTTTTTCTTGAGGGAATGCTTGAACTTGGTAGATGCATTAATGGCCTTCTTCTTCAGCGATCCAATCCTGGTTCTCCTCTCATCCTCAGAGTTCTCGAAATCAGATTTCCTCTCCCTCCTCTCCTCTCTCCTTTCATCTCCGCCTGAAGACCCCTCAAAGCCTGCCACGCAAAATACATTGTCAGATTCAGCAGCCAAAGCCAAAATGTCAGCAAATGAAGTCAAAGTTTCCACTTTCATTTCAACAAGTTTCAAGTATCCCCGCCAATCACGCTCAAGCCAACAGCAAAGTAGATAACTTTCAAGCAAAAAGCCTACAAAACACAGACAAAAAGCACTACAACGACACCCTCACTTGGCCAGCCTGACAAACAGTTCAAAACCCTAGCTTGACAAGAACAGAACCACCAACCCCACTAATCAAGCGACGCAAAAAAAAAAAAAAAGCCACAGAATCAGCAAGGAGTGAAGAGGGGGAAATGACTCACAAGGCCTTGCGAACCGATCGAGCGGACCAGACATCTGAGCTCCTTTCTTTACCGAAAATCAAGAACGCGGAAACCCTCACCCTCCCAACTTCGATCTCCCCGATCGTTAGAGCAACTCCACCAGCAATGCAGCAGCACGGCGCAAAACCCTAACAGGGAGCTTGCAGTTTCACGAACCTCGACAGCAGAAGAGGGCCAATTCAGCGCGGCAGCAGATGAAACAGCTACGGCCAAACAGTGGGAGGATTTACCTAACAAGAATCTTTCTTTTCTGTGTTTCCCGGCAGAGCGAAGAAGGGAAATTGGGATGAGAAGGAAGGAGAGGCGCTATTCACGAGGGAAATCCAACGATCATCAACAGCGCATCTGACAGACAGTTGAAAGCCCTGCAGCGTTGATTTAGGTTTCTCTCTCGGAATTAAAATCTGAAATTTTCCCAAGAATGGATGTTTATGGATCAACAATCAACCATCAACAACAAAATTACAAAAAAGAATAATAATAATTAAATAAAAAGCCCGGAAATTAGCGGAATAATTTACGGAACAAGAAGGAGGAGAAGAAGAAGAAGAAATGAGAGGAGCGTTTGGGGAGAGAAGAGAGAGAGGGTTTATAGCAGGAGACCGGATTCGGTGCGGATGGGGTCTACCATCTGTATCTGTACATCAACTTTGTTTTTTTTCCTTCCAGCTTTTCCGTCAGACTGCCACGTGGCGCAACGGAAAAGCGGAATGGTGAAAAATAATTAGTTTGTACGGTTCGGCTAGCCTGTCCTGTCCTCTGGTGAGCGCTGACCTTATTCAACTGTTTGATCTGCAAAGGCAGTTACTTAAACGGCGTCACAGTGTGCAACAGTCCCGTGTCCGTACCAAGTAATCGTTGTTCAATATTGGAAAAAAGTTGGGACTAAAAACATCGGATTATCATTATACTCGGTGTTAAATTTGGTACTGTCCAAATATTAATTCGTACCACTTTCTTCATATTCGTAACAGTCGTGCGGCCAAGGGCCGAATTGTATTATGTTTCGGTCTGGTCCAAACATCAATTTGATCATACGCGGTCCGGTAACTCGATTAGCATGTTGATAGGTCTAGACATGATTGGATAGCACGTCTCGCGATATTTTAGTGTTTTAGTTTTTCTTATTGATAGTTTTGTAAAATAAAGAATCTCGTGTGTGTGCTAACAATTGCGAGTCGCAGTATGCAAGTATTGTGCTTGCCTTTCGAGAGTTACAAGCTAGAGACTGAGAAATGAGTGTTGTTCATATCTTTCGCGACCCAGAGGATTGTCTTGCTCGCATGGGCCAAGTTTTAGATCCATTAACTTTTTTCTTTGTTGCCTTCGAACCTCATGATTTCACATCAGTTTTGTACTTCTATATAACTCTATCAAGTTTCATCGATCGTTCTATTAATTAATGGTTATAACGTAGTAATTACACACTATTCATTAAAAAAAAAACCTCGCCTAATGGCAAGAAGGAGTATGTTTAGCTCGTTACCTACTTCCCTACATTTACTGGACAAAGGTAGATGTGTATGACACGTCATCATTAGAAATTAGTATTGTTTGGTAGTGTGGATGAACTAATTAATGGGGACAAAAAGAGGGGGAAATAAACATTATTGAGAATATTTTTTAAAAAATGAATCCTCACTCGTAAAAAAAAAATTTCCTGGTCTTTCTGAATTAATGGACAGAATCACCAATGATTAAAAAAAGAATGTGGTTTGGAAGTTGCTATTGTTAAATAGATGTATTGTTGAGAATGCATGTATAATATTATACATGTATTGTCGAATTTGATGCATTGTAGAATACAACGTTTGGTATGTGTGATTGTGTATGTCGCATAAGCTAAAAGCTAAGACAAAACAATCTCAACTCAACTATCTCAACAATCACAACTAAAAGTTGAGATATAACAATCACTCAAAATGAGTGATAGTTTCTGTCACATCACAGAAACAATCTATGTATTATTTTTGCTAAAAAACAAAAAAAAAACGATGCATTGTAAACAATACATGCATAATGACAATCTCAACAAAACTATCGCAACCTCCAAAGGACCCCGAACTAAACAAAAATTTGGGATTTCATAAATGACGAATATAAACAGTGGAAATAAGGTGCGGGGGCAGCCATGGTCAACTATCAACAGCGCCATGATTAAGACCTAAACCCTATTAATGTAATTATATATATTAGTCAACATTAATAATTTTATTTTTCCAGTTTAAAGCACCGACATAGTGACATTCCAGTTGTCAAACATTTCATATTCCAATATACAAGCTTTATTATAATTTATTGATATGCCATCGACGTATCTACATGTCTTTGATATTTTGAACAGGAAGAAATAATGCCAAATGCCAACTTACTTGGCCGATTGTTTGGTATCGATACTATATGCACATTCGATGAATCGGAGAAATTGATTGATATCATAAATGGCCGATTGTATGTGGCTCACTCACTCATATTCTGCCACTTGGGGGAAGATCATATCCGAATCCAAACAACCCTTATAGCTAAATCAATTTTGCCTTCATATAACTTTAATTTGTGCTATAATATCATATGGGCGATAACGTAAAATCTAAATGAAGTTTAATATATGAATATACATTATGGTTTGTGAAATCGTGTCAGACAAGTTTTGGATAAAACCTGAAAAATCGATTCAATTTTGGATAAAACCGAAAACCCGAAATAAAACTGCCCTCCTTATAAGAGAATAAAAGGGGTGCTTTCGGGGACCAGACACAATCGATTAACGCAAAAGTGATTAAGCACGATTACCTTTGGGTACAAAACGTGACATGAAAGACGATAGTCAATTTTCGAGTTCATCAATAATATGATACGGATTAGCAAAGCATGAAAATTCAATTCAACACATTCAATGTTCGTGTATACAATCCTGACATCGTCAAATAGTTGGTGTATAAAATTCTTAAATAGCATATCATCAAAAGCAAACCATGCAAATAAACACTTTGGAAAGGAGAGAGGTTGTAGTCTTCTAGAACAAGAATGTGGGGAAGGCATTGCAGGGGTGTAAACTTGATCCTAAAAACCCATTGACTCGCCTCGATATATCCCAGCGTTGAGGATTGAGCTGGTTCAGTTTGTTTACAGGGTCAGTTTAGGGCCGGGTCATCTTTTGACCTTTTAAGGGTTGGGTAGAGTCGAGTCAGCTTAGGGTCGGGTTACTTTTTGACCTTGTGACCCTTAGATAGGAAATTTTACATACCAACACATTGGGCCTATTTGTAAAATTTAGGTACTAAATTGTAAGAAAAAATAAATTTGGATACCAAAACGTAATTTTACCATAAAAATTTAAGGACTTATTTGTAAAAAAAATTGGCACTAAATTGTAAGAAACAATAATTTTGGGTACCAAAATGTAATTTATAAAAAGTCAATTTGTTGATAGGGATCGACCCACTGACCCAATCCTCCCTAAGCCGTCCCGATCCTAGAGGGTCATACAAGGTCAAGAAGAAAACAGAAATAGGTCGGATCAATTTTACAATCTTAACTTTTTAGGAGCGGATTGGACAGGGTCAGGGACAGTTCAGGATAATTTTCAGCCCTAAGGCATTGTGAGGCACATGGGAAGGGAATGTAAAGGGGGGTTGTTTTGGGGACCCAAGACAATCGATTTACACAAAAGCGATTAAGCATGGTGCCCCTAATGTGGGGGGCAAAACGTGATTTCCATTGGCTTACATGCAAGTAAAGTATAGAGGTTCATCATAAAATATTGTGTAATTAAAAGGTTGGAGAATCATGCCCACTACACACTTTTTCTATAAAAAGAAAAATAAGGATTTAGCCTAGTCCAACATCTTGTAAACTAAGCAACAAGTGTGATACCATTTTTTTATGAACAAATAAATTTAATCAAAGTTAATCTAATAGAATCGATCAAGACTCAATGAAAAGAAGCCCCAACGGTTAAAGGTTCAGATTATAAGATGCTCGACGTCTTATTTTCTAAGAAGGAAGATTATATATAAAGCAAACCAATGAAAGGAACAAATGAGGAGACTCGTTACCTAAGTTCGTTTGGAGGCAAGATTTATAATAAGGGGAATTTATTTCAAATAGAGATTTGAGAACAACTGGTCGTTTTGGAAGTTGTGATTTTTTAAATTGATGAATTTTATGAATGTGTGCATTCTAAATTGATGTTTTGTTTGAATTGTTGTATTTGAAAAATCACTTGTTTGGAGGTCTAGATTGTGCTTTTCACATATCTAAAAATATAATATACTTTTTTGGTTCAAGGACATATTTGCCCTTTATCAACACATTTCTCCAAGGAGAGAGGACCAATGGATAGGGCTAATGTTGGAAAAACAAAAAAAAATTAAGGGACAAAAGTGGAATAAAAGATTGACATAGAATCATTCATTTACAATCTCAACTTTAATTAGAAATTATCAATCCTTTATTTTGAGAGATTAGAGGTGGATCCTTAAAAAGTAAATATATGTATTATAACTCAATTTAAACCAAAAAACAACTAAATCTCCACATTTTATGTATTGGCTAAATACACCACTTCAAATCACAACCTCCAAACGAACCATAAGATTTAAGAATTTGAAAGAATCAGACACTCAAATCATACCTCCAAACCATCTCTTAAAAGAAGCAATGGAGTTACACTCCCAAGAGAAGACTGGTCACAATTAGTTAAGTAATTGCAAAGGAACCAAAACAATATAAAATCAAGGTTCCTTTCCCAAATGAACTTTTGATTCATGGTGAAGAACATGATGGATACAAGAAGTCAGAAATATGATGCTACCCTCCCCCTTCTTCTCCTTTTACTGTTGGCTTTTATTAATTATTATTGTCCAGCACAAACACTACCAGAAGAAGACTCTGTGGATCCCACTTTCATCATTAACACAAACACAGAAGCAAGCAAGCAAGCATTCGAGTTTAAGTTCAAACAAAAGGGTTTATTGGTTGACAAAGAGACTAAGCATAAGCATTTGCTTCACTCACTTACCGACCAAGCTAAAGATAAAAGAAGATGCAAACATGAACCAACCCTGAAAACCCATTTCTGGACAATGTGATGTGTATTCCTGTGGATTTAAGCTGCAGGGTAAGATGAGGGGAAGAGAAGCCAGGTACCTGTTTCAATCACTGCCGCCATGAAAAGCAACTTTTAACCACCCCATCCTTCTAAGACACCGGTACGTCCGGCTCAGAACGGTAGCTATATGGTTAGAAAGGATTGAGTATATTCAGCTTGCATCTTTCCTTGGCCTAGAACAAAAGAAAGATTGGAACTTCTGTGATCATATTGCTTGAATCAAGGACAAGAGCTATGTTACTCCACACCAACAGCAAGGCTGTATGTAGGAAGCAGAGCCAGCCAACAGGTTATGTCAGGCCAGGAAAGTAAATTAAAGCGAATTGCCCGGATAATACTCTGCTCCAACTTGTCAAAGATAGGGCCTTCATCAATGGGATCTCTCGACCTTCTTGCTAGGGTCGAGTTCCCCTGCTTCTTCCCCTGTTTTCTTTCTTCT